GACCTACCATCAGAGAAAATGAGCAGAATAGCCATAAATACTTGAAACATGTTGGTGTGTCCTTTTTTGTCACAGCCATTGTTTTGCTATGTGATAGCCGTCTTGTAGCTGCACCAAGGAAACCTAAACCAGCAAGCATGCTTACTCCTGAATAATTGACGTATGTGTCGCAAAGGTCTGCTAGCACTCTGCCCCTCCTATCATGTGTCAAATGAAAAGCTCTGCATCTGGAGAAACAATGGATTTGGCAACATACTGTGGAAAAATAATTGTGAAATTAATAATAGACTGAAACGCGTGGTGAATGTCAAAGTAACAAGTTAGTGTCAGACCAAACTAATCCAGATGGACTTTAGCTTTGCTGAAGATGATCTATGCCAAAATCACTTGACACTCAAGCGAGCCACTTTCTTTGCTTTCTACAGCACAGCTAATGTAACCTAAACATATGAATTACAGAAGATATAATAGACTACGTCAAGCCTCCGTATTGGATTCCTGGAAATGTAATTTTCCAAGGGATCCAAACAAAGTAAATCACCGCTGATAAGATAACAGGCTGTTTTGGCACTTATATAATTAGGTTTTCTACACTTCTGGTTACTGATCACTGGCAAAATCTGCAAGCACACTTTTTTATTAAAGTCATTAAATGAGTATATTAAGAGTGAAATCTAAAAACACCTTTAAATGTTTAACACCTTTGGATGTTTAAACATTGATTTAAATTTCTCACAGCATGAGAATGAGTGTTCATGCAAAATACAATTAAAACAGTTTATACACTTACATTAGTGTAACTGACATATTCATTATTCATTTTTTTTAACCAAGGAAAGAGCCAGAAATTCCTGAAGACCATCAAATTAATTGTTCATAATTTTTCCTTTGAGTTTGGGAAGTAAGACCTGAAATGGCAAGGGGCCTATCTTCCTGATTTTATTAAGCCCATAAAACCACATCGCCCACCTAGGCTTTATACCTAATCCTTTAATATATGGTGTGTCTAGAAAAGCTTAAATTGCAATTCATGTGAATGTACAAAAAAAGAAAAGAGATTACTTTGCACGAGGACATCCGGTGAGAGCCAGGGTGGCAGAGGACAGACCTAAACAAGGCCATCAAAGGCTAAGCCGGATTCATAGTTGAAATATTTTTTCTAATGACTCCTATCCCATGAGGCATTACTGTAGGTAGGGGAAAATATTTTGTTTTATAAAGGCAATCAATATTATGTATCACTGCATGTTATACAACATCCAAAAAAAAAAAACATTAGCCAGACTGCAATAACAGTTTGCTAAACAGGGTATAAAGAATATGAACAGTCAGTAAGCAACAACTTTAATCACAGATTGATGTAATAATAGTGACGATAATCAACTGAAAGTAGGTACTTCCCTATAGGGCAAGAACATGTAGTGTTGCATGTGTTACACTGTCCTTCTATCTTCCATTGTGGAATCACATACAGTGAGATCCCATAGTCTGAGACTAAATTTATACATTTTTTTCATGACAAATGATGAATAATAATAAGTTTATTTCCAAGTTTAAGTTTCAGATTTTCAGTGTGGTTACAGACTTTTGGACCCCACTATACTATTTGTTTATTTTTGAGAATATGGACTCCCAAGCTGCACAGAGGTAAATTTAAAATGTGGGCTAACAAAATTCATTAGTTACTGTATTTAGGTTAATATAAAAGTGTTGGGGTGTATCCTGGGTACTTCCTGATATATGGGTCCTGTCATCCACAATGCACCTGCTGAAATGCCCTTAGACAAACATGACTGTCCCTCCACTGCAACTAAACTGGAACCTGACAACAGAGAAACACACTATTTGAGATATTCACAATTCACTAAAGCAGAGTCAAACTGATCATAGACCTCATTTATAATGATAATTATTATTTCATTACGTCACCACACAGTATCAGAAAACAGTTGCTAGAGCATGCATTTTGCTCCCGAGTATCAAAAGGACAATCACACTGCAGTCATTTTAAGTTGATCATCTCCATTTTTAATACAGGTGATATGAAACAAATGCAACAACCCTGTTTACACTTGGCTTCACTTGAGCTTCCTTTGGGGGATGGAGGGGCCGTAATGGTGGCTAACATGGTCTTAGCAGTAACTGTTAGATTAGAGAGAAGGACTGTACACGATGCAGGTCACTGAATATGCGACAAAAACTTAAGGACAGGTAGGCGACAAACAGATGAGGAGGGGAAATCGTCTCCGAACGTCACATGCACCAGCAACCCCCGAGAAAAGCTGTCGTCTTTCCTCTGCGGTTGAAAACAGTCAAACGGATGTCATATACTGAACACATACTGAACACATGAAATCAGATCATGGAAAGGACACTGATTTCACCTTTTTCTAAAAGCCTGGGTTGGATTTCAGTTGGGGATGACCAGACACACGCAATAAAGCCATTATCTTCTATACACCCTTTGCATCTTTCCCCCAAACCTCTATTAATTATTTTTTTTGTTTTGTTTTCTGCTCTGTAATATACTTTTCATTATTTACAGGGATGTACACAAAATACACTTAAAAAGAGGATCTTCCATTTCTTCGCAATAAAATGTCACAGGATGTTTAGTATTGTCTCTTTATGTTACATTCCAGCCGAGAGCCATTCAAGGAAACGAAACGGAAAAATACTGTGATCAAAAAACACAAATGGCGTAAAACATGGTCCTTAAAAAGGGGGTGTGTTTGAGTCCGGTTTGTGCCAGTGTGCAGTAATTCTAATGGAGGCAACTCGAGGAAGGCTAGGTGGAGTTGAAGTGACAGTCAGCGTTGTCAGTGACCCACAATTCCTTAATGTCTTTTCTTCACACTCCAGTGTATGGCATTTTTGTTCATTGTGAACACCAGGCGCCTTTTTGCTTTTCCGAATGATAGGTCTCTGTTGATTGACAGGCAAGTTTAATGCAAAAAAAAAAGTGTCAGTGTGGTAGGGGCAGACAATAAGGAGGGGCTTGTTCTCATATTCAGCATGTTATTTTTTTATATCATCTTTTTATTTTTTTAAATCAGCCATATTATCATCTCCATCTGGATCTTTTTTTTTCTTCTGTGTTCACAAAAAAGGGTGTTGCGCCCCCTGTTGGGGGATCAGGTTCTCCCATAGATGAACGCAAGGTAGGTTTATTCACGGTCTGGAGAAGGCTTGTTTGTGTGTGTGTGTGTGTGTGTGTGTGTGTGTGAGAGAGAGTGTGTGTGTGACTGACTGGAGAGGAGGAGTGTTTGTGTGCGGTTGAATCGAGGATATTCACGTCAGTTCAACAGTCACTGTGAGAATAAGTGGCAGGCATATCAGTCCAAGCTTGTGCAAACCAGGAGCTCCATCTGAAAGAGGAAATAATAGTAATTAGTATTTGGCAGGGATATGCTTATCACAACTTGGTTTTAATCCAGTTTTGCTTATGGCACTGTCTAAAAGGAAAAGTTCACCCAAAAATGAAATGAAGTTCTGTCATTATTTACTCATGTCATTCTAAAACTCTGTGCTGTTGTTTTCTATGAAACAAAGTAAGAGAGTTTTGAAAAGTCTTTACTTTAGTTGATCATGGGCTATCAAGCTTCACAAGTGACAAAACAAAGCACTATAAAAGATTTAAAAAAAAACAATCTATATGATTTGTCATATATTCCAAAAAAACACAGATTTGTGTAAGAAAATGTATTAATTTAACCATAAAGGAAAAAGCAGAGCTTCTGCATGGAAGAGTCATCTTCGCTATAGTGCAGCAGCGAGTCAAGAAATCTGTATGAGCGAGCTTCTTTTCTCAGGTACTTTCCCTAATCATCTAATGCAGTCTAAAAGGTTTGAACGAGCTGTCCAATGGTGCAGGATCACTTTTAACATTCATGCATACTACACAATGTTCAATAAGCACTAAATGATGATGGCTGTCGTAAGTATTATGAGCAAT